ATAAGGGCATGTTGCCAAAGGGTTGGAAAAATAGAATGTTGGAGAAAAAGCGGAAAAGAAGAAGTGAAAAATGAACCAACATGAGCCAACTTGGGAGCAAACATTTTGAGAAAGATAGATGAAACATCGTATGGATCGGATGGTTTGTTTGCATTTAGAGAGCTACAAGGCCTGACGGATTTTCCTAGTGCTAATATGAGATAGAACAAAGCTGTCAGTGAAATGGAAAGAAGGTGAAGAAATAAAATAATTACGCAAGGTGAAGGTGACGGCAAATCAAGGAGAAAACCTTAGTTTTCTAGTGTTATTGACATTCAAGAAGAATTACAGATTGAGGTAAGTTTTAAGGGCAGAAATTCCTTTGGTAGGGGATCGAAATGTTCGACGACCTCTAGCGGATGAGATTAAGTGTTAGGCTTCATAGTGGAAAAAGCATTCTTAGTGCCCTGAATGCTTTTATGGAAACGTTTCCTATCTTGCATGAAGAGATGTTGAGAATCAAAAGTGGGCGAGAGGCGACAGAGGCGGAGAGCTGAGTGTTTTAGGCGTGATTAAACCTCTAGACGAATTTGGGTTTACTGGGTTCGCAAAAGTGCATAATAAAAGATGTATACCTTGAAGAACAATGTTAGGGAAGATGGAAAAGGAAGATGGTAAAGGTTTGAAGAAAAAATAAACTTTCGATGGGTAAGCAACTGGGAAATCATTAAAACCGTCCTAGCCGGCTGAGTTGTCTCGAGGTGGGTAGCTCATTGTGGCTGGTAAACGTAATAGAGCAAGAAAGAATACGGGCACTCGAGGTATCGACTAGAGGGAAAGTACAAATATCCGAGCAGAAAGAAGAGACCGAAGTGAGAATTAGGTTAATTAGAGCCACGTTGGGAAAGGTCAATTGGTTAACTCACGTTGTTGACCGAAGCAAAATGCCCCAAATAACAATGTATTAATAATTCCTGATTATCAACGTTGAAATCTCTCAAGATGGTAACATGACGATTGAGATTGTTCGCAAGCAAGTGTTTAATGTTCAAAGATAAAATAATCGAAGATGGAGGGGTCACCACTGTTGGGGAAATTAAATAGAATACAAAAGTAATGGTTAAGAGAAGAAAGTTGCGGCTTCATCCACATTACCTGAAATTCACGATTGGAAATGCAAAAGATTGGTATTCTGGAGGAGGCGACTAATCAGTGCATTAAGACGAAAACACCAGGTTTCAGTATAAAGGAAGGGTGTTAAGTGTAGTTGGGAACTTGAGGAGGTGGTTGATGTCTGGTGAGGGGGAGATTTGTGTTTCGGTCAAAACAGGGCGAGAGGAGAAGACGATTGGAGAAATTGGTGTACAGAATCAATGCTACGGTTCAGTTTGCAAATGCTGGTGCGAGATATGAGCACGTGTTTGCTTAGCGAACGAGAAGAGCGACGGAAAGAGCGAGAGCGTACATAATTTTGTAGTCGTGTTTATATTACGCCCTTCTATTGGCTGTGCTACACTTACACCCTACCCGCCACATTGTAGGATTTTCAAATGTAATGTGTCGTTGCCACTCACGGGATTAAAATATTTGTCTCAGCCGTGCCAGAACATATTTTGATGGTGTATCGGTTTGTGAGGCTCCAGTTTCTTGCTGTCCAGCGTAAACAGATAAACGAAAGTATGCAGGCCGATAAGTTACCACTTTGATCAAGATGACTCTTCCCCCATTTGTCAGTGTCAACATTTGGTCCCTGCTTCCGAAAATTTCGGATTTAGCTGGTATCCTATATTTGAGATTTTATATAAAAACTTGTATGGTTTGTGTTCAATAATCCTGATTGGTTTAGAATATAAATGATAATCGTGTTGATGGACGGTTTTCAAGTTCACCGACAAGTTCGTGGAATGGGAAGATGACTGAAGTGGATGTTGCTAGACATGTTTATTTTTCTTGGTGTGACAAATCCCAAGTTACTTTTCAGTACTACTCAATAGGTGTTGAGTGTCAAACCGCGCAATGTCACCCAAGATTTTCCCGTTTTACTCACACGGTGCTTAATAAACTATACATAACACACAAGTCTCGTAATCCTTCAGCTGTCAGGCTCTTGCCCAANCCCAAGCCTATCAACACTAACATAAATAGACTAGCCGCACTATTCTCTGATGGAATCTGATGACTAGAATAAAAAAAACAACCGTGACAAGGTATCAAACTTGGCTGTGGAAGGCAGAAAGTACAGTTGAAGACGGGTGTTGATGTTGACTATCTTAATCCAGCATTCCTACACCAGTCGTCGGACATTATTCCTACCTACGCACTACATAATATTTGTAAGGCGGAACCATTTTCAAATTATAATCTGTAAAACGTTTAAATATTTGCATTTCTTCTTCTGCTACAGATCCAGATCGGTTACCTCTGACAATCTTCAAATTTGGTGCCGCTTCCCTAGTTGGGACAGTCACCTCCATTGTAAATAAATCACTTGATACTTCAACCATCTCAGACTGTTAGAGGACGGTCCCAATCATTTTTAATACCCAAAGCATCTAAATCGTCTATCCTCTCCAAATACTTTCAGTCCGTAGGCTAATTGGAAAGTTTGTCCTCAAACGCCTTTAGCAGTCAATACTCATTCTCGATGATCTTGGCCCAGTCTCCACCCTTATTTATTACATCACCAAGTCTTTGAATAACTCTACTTAGTCTGTTCGCTGTATTTTTCTCGACTGTTCTTCAACATTCGATTCCATTCCTCAATCAAAGTTGTTACAAAAGCTGGAAACTACTGAATGCCTCAAACAACTGTTAGCTTGACTGTCCAACTATTTTACCAATAGAGAACAAATCCATAGATCTAGGAGAACTTCAGTCAATAACTCCAGAGTTATTCAAGGAGCTGTGCTATCTTCATGCTACATTTTCGCTTACATTTGGGATATTCCTTGTGCACATATTTTGTAATATTCAGATGTTATACTCTGCAAACCCATTTCTGCTTCCTCCGATCTAAGCTTCTTCATCGAAAATATTGGTCAAATTCAGTCAATCTCCTCCCAATCGGGACTAAGCTTGCAGTCTAGCAAATGTGTTGAAATTTTACGTAGTTTTGCACATTCTTAATCATCGATAGTCCCCACAGCGATAAATAATAATGCTTTCTCTAGGCTGAACTCTGTCAATCATCTTGGAGTTAATCTAAATAGCGATCTTCGTGGTTTACCTATTATTCACCTCAGGTCTCCCATTTCTGTAAATGAGTTGACTGTCGAACCTGCACAGTATCATACAACCTCCCGTGTGCGGAGGTGATTTTCGTGGTCCCTGACCTCCCATTACACACAGAACTGACAATTAGTCGTTCCCATCTCGTTCTCCTCACTCTCGGAAATCCAATGCATACCATCAGGCTCAAATGTTTACTGAAATTCACCTATGCCCTGGCCTACACGGTTACTCGCAAACGAAAAGAGGAAAGCCATTCAACTTTGTCTTATGAAATGTTTCTCTGTTGTCTGTTAACATTCAACCCCGTTATGTACATTCCTTGTGATGGCTGGAATGTGTAGTTTTTAACTTGAAATATAATCTTTAGTGCTTTCAAAATTTGGGCAGAATATACAGAACACAAAGGGAACCAGCAATCGTGGATATAAAACTTGGGATGGCAGACCATATAAAGTTTAAATAGAACATGAATGGTAGTCAGCCGGGCAAAGACAGCGCGTAGCACCTCTATACCTCAACGAACTACACAAGATGGCCTTTAATAAACCGAAGACCTAATAATGTACGAGTGGAAAGTAGAGGGCCGGCAGAGTTCAGTCACTTGGTCCTCCAGGGTATGGGTTGTCTTAATTTGGCATCTCGGTTGGCAAATCTGGTGGAAGTGTGATTGATCCAAGTAGATGAGCCTCCACTCCACTTCACCGCTCACTATGTTGTGGTCAGTTTCTCGTCAGAACAAAAGACTAGTTGAGTACCCTAATCGTTCTGCTGCTTAGTGACTGCACTCCGTAGTAGTTTTGGTCTATAAAGCTCCAATGAATACAAGTCAAAAATCATTGCACACTGTAACGATCGATGGCACAACCGTCCAACACCGTAATTATTTATCCCAACCGTATTTTGGTTATCCTACCTCTAGTGTTCTTTTATTTTTTTATTTTACTTCCTTTTTTCGAATATAAAATGAGCAGTTTTCAAAAACGGGGAAGAGATCACTCAACGAGCTACTATGCAACACCTCCTTGGGAGAGGTCAAGTGGTGGTGGCGATGGGATTCGACTACGTCCTTCTGGGTGATAATATCGTGTTTGCTTACCACCGGGGTAGCGCTACGATTGCTTTTTTTCGAAAAATGTTCAATTAACTCACCAAAGCTGCTCAAAACAAGAAAAATTTACCGAACTGTATCGATTAATTAACTGCCTAACCTCCATTTGAATTGATCGAGCGGTTGGTGCATAAAGCCAATGGAGAGCGCGGTGGAAATCACATTGATCGACGGACATGCAAGGCAGTTATGCGGCAGTGCCAGGTGCTAGGTGAAAAGGAACCTGTGCCAGTTTGAATTCAATCAGTCAAAACCTAAGCTCTCCACCGAATTCGATGTGCGTATTCCACGGAGTAATTTGTGCTTATTTCATCTACAGTTCAATGGTTTGATCCCATCATGCAAGGTGGAGAATCATCAATGAAATCACGTGTGCAGTGCAATGTTGTGTATGCAGTCCGTGAATAATTAAAAATGAAATCGATTTGAATCGATCCTAGTGAATTTTTCTTCTGATAATCCACTTGGTAAATGACAAACTGTCAACTAATTATTTTTTAATGTCAATACTGATTTAAAAATAGTGTATAGAATCTACTTTCCTCGTATGACAATAACTCAATATGTGGAAAAATCACTGATCTCGGTTTCCATGTGCACAGAATGATTCAAGTAGAATGGTATAAAAGCTCAGTTGTGCATTACACTCAATCGTGTCCCGACGACGTTTTGACTGCTAGAAATGCAACTGTTCATTTCATTTCTGGCTATCTGCCTGTACACGACCACTACCGCGGCCATCTCAGCCGAACACAAGACCCTGCTGCTGCTGCTGCACAATACGTTCAGGGAAAAAATTCTGAATTGTACGGTTCCCGGACAACCCCCAGCCGCGCAAATGCCCAAAATGGTGAGTGATCTTAAGCGGATTGTTCACACGTTTGACTGTGTAGTTGTGACAATGACCACTCCTGGTACTGTTTGTACATCCAGTCAGCACACATGCAGTCACACAATACACCCTCGAATGTTTCATTCACTCTCTGCTATTTGCCTCTCTCTCTCTCTCGAAATTTTAGACATGGAACGATCAACTTGCCGAAAAGGCCCAAACGTGGAGTGACAAATGTAAAGTTGGTCACGACAGGAACCAGGATAGGTTAGTGGCTCCGTTCAGATGGGTCGGGCAGAACTTTGCCGGTAATTCATTAGTGGAAAAGTAAGTCCTTCAAAGTGCTGAACTGCGGTGCTTCCATTCACTTAGCATGATTCCGTGCGCGGTTCCAAAGTTCATATCCCTCATTCTCGTACCCCCGTTCTTTCTACTTCCATTCCCAGCGGATTCTACGCATGGTTTGACGAGCATAAGAATTACGATTATGCTAACAATAATTGCACGAAAGTTTGTGGTCACTACACTCAGGTGAGTTATGAGTGCATGTGGATTAAATAGCAGGGACCGGTGACAGACAGTTCCATCAAAACAGGAAATG